GAAGGGGTGTTGATTCTGTAGGCTTGAAGAATGTAAGAGCTGTGGGGCATGCCTTCCTCCACCTGGATTTCAAAGATGTCATGAGGTCAGGCAGAGGCCCAGGCAGAACTTTGTTATTAGGGTGGAGCTGCTGTAGCATCCTTACTAGGGCAATGCGTCCTGGAACCAGAGGTGTGAGGGTGTCTCTGAAAATCCAGGATTCTAGCGCTACAATGACAGTCTCAGAGTGTTTCAGAGAGAAATCTCCAACCTGAGAGGGCTGAAGCCCAAAATGGCCAAGGAGACAGATATGTGGGGAGGGAGTCAAGTTGACCAGTGTGAAACAGCATTTTTCTCTCTTGGGCTTTGGAGTTCTCGGGGCTTATCACTCCTTTTTCTTTGCCCAGCTCTCTTTTTTGGAATGGGGATGTCCCACCATTATGTTTTGGAAGTACACAACTTGTTTTGATTTCATAAACTCAGAGCTGGTGCAATTTTCCCCAGGATTAATCCTGCCTTGAGTCACATATCTGATTCAAATGAGACTCTGGACTTTGTACTTTTGAGTTGGTGATGAATTGAATAAAAACACTGGGACTATTGGGATGAAATGGATATATTTTACATAACAAAAGGACATGGATGGGGAGGGCGGCTGTGGATAGAATTCTGTGGTTTAAAGGTTTCTGACAAAAATTTTATGGGTTGTAAATTTAATGATCTTTGGAGGTGGGGCCCTGAGTGGTAATTAGGATTCCATGAGGTCACAGTGGCATTTGTGGCTTTATAAGAAGAGGTAAGGACCAAGCTAACATGCCTTCTCTGTCTTTCCATTTGATGCTTTCCGTTTTATGAGGAAGGCTTCAGAGTGTACTGGTGTCAGGCTTTTGGACTCCCCATCACGGGAACTATGAGCTAAATAAACAAAACTATTCTTCATTAATCATCTAGTCTATGGTATTCAACTACGGCAGCAGAAACCAAACTAAGACACTGTTCAGAAAAATATTATATCCTGAGTTATAAACTACTTTGGCCACTAAAAAGAATTAGAGGAGGAGGAGGAATGGAAGGGATGAGGTCAGGAGGGCTAAGGGAGTATGAGGAGGCATGTCTCAGCACAGACTTCGCATGTGCTGTTTCCTTCTCTCCTTCTCAGTTACTATTAAAGAAATCAATTCTTAGCTTTCTCTAGGTACCCTCTAAAATTGAATAATATGGCAACTATAATTCCCTCAATAATATCTACTATGCCAGGTTTTTGCCTTAGAGGTATCTGTCATTATACACCATGAAAACAGCGCAAGTCATTACCATGACACTTTGTAGATGAGGAAACAGGCTCAGAGAAGTCATTTGTCATTCATCCATTTGGTGACCCAGCTCCAGTTTGAACAGACTAAACAGACTCTTAAATCAAGGGTACATAATATTCCACCCCTGCTATCCCACCCAGAGGAGTGTCAACACTTATGGGAATCTGGCTCTGTGTAGGAGGACATCAAATCACTGTAGCAAGGATATTAGGGCTGTTTGAGCCCTGTCACAAAGAAAATGAGAAGTTGTGATCCTTAGGCACTTGCTAGATTAGCCAAGATTATTATTTTTTTTTCTTTTTGACCAGAGGCATTTTCTTTTTGGAGTATCAAGAATTTGGTTAAAGAAAAGGATCACAATGGTGAACCAGAACTATCAGATTTACTAACACAGGAGTGGTGATGTTTGAGATTTAGGAAACTTTTATTAAGCTGTTATTTAGAAAAGATAGCAAGTGGAATAGGCATGCATATAAAAGGTAAATCCCTGGGCCGGGTGTGCTGGCACATGCCTTTAATCCCAGCGCTAAGGAAGCATAGGTAGTCAGATCTCTGTGAGATCAAGGCCAGTCTGGTCTCCATAGCAACTTCCAGGCCATCTGGGGTACAAGGAAACAATGTCTCAAAAAAACAGAACCAGAAAAAGTGGATCCCTGAAAACACTGAACAGGAAGGTACCCTAAATTTGCCCAGAAATAGAAAAAACAAACAAAAACCAGTACTGACCTCCCTGAGAACAGAGTTTTAATATTTTATTGTTTTTATCTTATGTGTATAAATAAGATAAATAATTTTATGTGTATTATTTAAGTGTATTTCCTGCATGTATGTAAGTACACCTGTATCCTGCAATACCTGCAGAGGTCAGAAGAGGGTGTAGGAGTCCCTGGATCTGGAGTTACAGATTGTTGTTAGCCACCTGGGAACTGAACCCAGGACCTTTGCAAGAGCAGTCAATGCTCTTAACCTGTGAGCCATCTCTCCAGCCCCACATAGTTAGATTTTAAAGCACAGTCAAATCAAAATAAGTTTTGAGTAGTGATTTTTTTAAATTGGTGTTTTCTTAGAGACTAACTCAATACTTTCCAAAAAAAAATTCACTCTGTCATTATGACAAAACATTATATTTTTAAAAGGTTTTCATTTACTCATTCTGTTGAATTAAGTCACAGTGATAGCCCCCAGGAAACCTTGCTGTACTGCTGAATTTATGGCCTAAGGTCAAACTTTGCAGCATATGTTGACTCAGAGTAAATGCATTCCAGAATCTTCCTTTGCATCACTATGTATGCCTGTTTATGTGTTGTGCCCCACAGATAACTACAAGCTATTTTGACTATTCAGAGGAGGGGAGGAATGTCCTTAATGGAGGCTCTTCTGTGTGGGAAGAAGAAAAGGCTGATGCTCAGAGGCCCTTCATTGGAATCTTCTAGGGCCTCATACCAGATTTGGGAGGGCTGATAACCAGCCTGACTAATTCTGGTATAGGAAAGACACCATTCAAAGAATGTCTAGCTTGCTGGATCCATGCTCCATTTTGTGACTCCGTGCTCCTTTAAGCTAGTCGTCTTTAGTCACAGCTCAGCTTACACTCTAAAGCACGGAGACACACCTTAGTTACACGAAGCTCAATTTTTACCTTCAGCCTTCCCAAACTTAAATATTTGATTTCAGATTTAACTTCCTCCAGGAATAGGCTGAGAGGTGGGGAAGAGAGGAGGAAGAGGAGAAGGAGGAGGAAGGAAGGAGAGAAGGAGGGAGAGAAGGAGGGAGGGAGGAGAAAGGAGAAGAAGGAAGAAGAAAAGAAAGAAAGGGAAATTTCTTTTGACCCTTAAGAGACTGGTTCTCTGGTGCTAGGAAATGTAGGGCATGTCTTAGAGCAGTTACTTTGTTTCTGACAGTAAATAAAGCCCTCATGGAAGAATATTAATTTATCTGGCCTATTTAGTATGTTAAATTACACTATTTCATACTCTAGTGGCTCGAAAAAGTTAATTTACCATTCGAATGGTGTGAATGATGAATATTTATATCATATCCTGGCACTTTATAGTAATACTTAATAAACAGCACATTTTGCTTAAGTGTGCTCTATTTTTTAATCAGTATTTATAAATACTAGAAAAGGAAGACAGAACCTTAGTATTTTATTGGCGACAAGAGGACAGCTGTTTACTATGGTGCCATCTCAGAGCATGCCTTGACATCAGGTCCTGATGTTAGGAGAGGGGAAGATACCAGGAAGGAAAAAGGATGAGACAGTGCTTAGATCTGATTCCAAAATATGTGCTATACTGAGCGTGTATCCTCCAGTCCTAAGTTGTCCTAGACCCCACCCTTGACCTCTCTCTCAATGCTTCCAGAGGTTTCCAGTGATACTAGAAAGAAATTTAAACACGGAAGAGCTGATTTCATTCTTCCTGATGCATCAGTTGGCTAAGGCACTAAAATCATTTGAATAGGTTTTGAAACAAAATGACACTTGCTTAATTCAAACAGTGGGCTGGGGATAAAGGGGCAGATATTTGATCTACATTTCATATGTAAAATAATGTTCATTGTACTTTCGGATGTCGGAAATACAATTTTGGTTGGTGGACAGTGTGCTTACGTGTATTACTTTGACAAGAACAGTAAATCAGTACACAATACTGATACTCTTTGGTTATTCCAGAAGCAAATATATTAATCATATGAGGTACAATTGGATGCTCTTTTCCTACTTGGAAAGTTGTTGAGTGTGTCATTGAGTTCCAAAAACTGTTCAGGACACAATGACTAGAAGTCACCTTTCTGTAACACAGTATGATGAAATAGTGATAAGATTTTCCAAGTTATAAGCAAAACCATTTTATTTGTAAAGATCCAAGTAGAATTAAGAGAATAAGTATTCCTGTGAAATATAATGAATGAATAAAGGAATAAAGGTAGTTAGTAGGTTAGTATTTTTTTTTCTTTTGTTCCCAGCTGGCCTCTATCTTAGAGACTCACCTGCCTCTATCTCTTGAGTGCTGAGATTAAAGGTGTGCACTATCTTTTATGGGTGGTTAGGGTTTTTGTTTTTTAAATTTTTTAAGGTAATATTGTGCTATGGAAACCAGGCAGACCTTGAGATTGCTCCATTCTCTTGCCTCAGCCTCAGATGCTGAGATTACAGGTGTGTAGCACCATTCCCAATTTATACATGACATCTCTAAATCAGATTTTAGTAAGCTAAAATCCTTCCCAGATAATTAATAAATTATTGGAAGCCTCTGAGAACTGAGATGCTAGCGTTAGGAATTTGAAAGACCACAATGACTTCAGAAATTGCCTGTCTGTGCAAGAGAGCCTTGTCAACTGCCAAATGCCTGAGGTTTTTCAGTGAACTTGGCTTTGGTCTCCTTGACTCTAGCCATCAGCTGGAAGGAGTCAAGATCGAGTTCCAGGACAAGTTTGGCTCTAATTCCCCCTCAGGGGCTCCATGAATTGAATTGAATGTAGGTGCTTGCTGGCCAGGTCATTTCATGCCCCTCTCATGGGCTCTGCTTACCTCCTTTACTCCCCCAAGGGGAGAGGAAAAAACAGGTGCAACCCAGCAGGGGGAGTGGGTGAGCTGGCCCCAGGGCCATCCAAATAAGTCCTTGGGTGTGGGTATGGGTGTGGGGCAGTTGGGTGGGATCAGCGTGCAGGCTACCAGCACCAAGTGGTGCGCCTCTCCGGGGGTGTGTGCAGGAGTCTCCAGGATAAATAGGAGGCTCCCTACGCTGGGCGACGCTGGGAGCCCGCTGGCTGCCGCCCGGGGTGTTTCCCTGCCCTGTAGCCAAGGGTGCCAGCCGCAGGAGTAGTTTCGCTTCCTACTGGCTCCTGGATTAGTTTCCAAGCACCCTCTCGGTGCCGGGGGGGCCAGGGAAGGGGCACGAAGAAGGAGGGAGACACGCATAGGGGCTGCTCTGCCCCGCACAGCGCAGTTGATGGACCCGGCCGCCCTGGACAGGGGCACCAGCTCCCGGTCCCTGCTCCTGGCCCTTGCCCTGGGTAAGTGGCCATTCTTGGCGCTGCAGATCAGGAGGAAAGAGAGGGGTTCTGGAGTCGCAGGGAGGGCGAACCTTGAACCGCGCTTGGGTTTAAGGATCAGAGAACTTGGCCAACTGCTGGAGCAGTGTTAAGGATCAGGTGATTCGGTCTCTCCTCTGGGTTGCACCTGCTGGAGGTTGCGCCTAGGAGTGCGGGAGGCCCCAGGGCGGAAGGGATTCCGTAGGCCCTCCGGAGCTGCGCTCAGGTGGCAGGGCTCGGCCAGTGTGCCTGGAGCAGTGCCTGGGAGGTACCCTAGGGGACCTGAGTGAGGAGGCGGGAGGGAACCCTCATAAAGGAGGAGTATGGGAGTGTGGATTGAGGATGCCAGCAGGAGGCAGAGGAGCAAAGTCCTCTGATGCAAGGTGGAGAGCAATTTGCCTTTGTGTGTGTGTGTGTGTGTGTGTGTGTGTGTGTGTGTGTGTTTTCCAGGAATGTGGGTGAGAGACAGGACTGCTGGAGAGATTGGCCCTGGGCTAGGATGAGTTATTACCCTCTTTTTCTTTTTCTCTCTTTTCTTATTCCAGTTTAGAGCACATGGAACTGGGAGGGAGAAGTCTCAACTTCTGAGACATGACTCTTCTATTCCAGATGAGGAGGCAAAGAGAAATGACAAAATACTCCAAACCTAAATCTTTTGTTTTATTGAGAACTTCATATGTGAGAAATGTATTTACATCATTTCACCCCCTTTCCGCCTCCAACTCCTCCTGTGCCCCCTCCCTCTCAAATTCATGACCTCTTCTTCTTTAATTACTGTTACATATATACATACACACACACACGCCATCATATTTCATGGATAAAGCTTCTTAGTCATGTCTAGAAGACACTGTCTTACAGCAGGCATCCTTGTCCCCTGTCTCTCTTACCCTTTCTGAGATTTTCTGAGTCTTAGGTGATACATTGTAAATGTATCAATTGGGGTTGGGCACTCCACAGTCACTTATCCTTTGCATTTTGACCAGTTATGGATCTCTGTAATAGTCTCCATCTGTTGCAAAAAACAAATAAAACAAAAGAAAAAAAATCTTCTTTGATGAGGGGTCAGTCAGAGCTACATTTATCTGTGGATATAAAAGTAATTAGAAAACAAAAATGATACTGGTTTAAGAAAACAGCAGAAGTAGGTGCTCCTCTGGAGTTTATGACCTCTCCAGCCATGGGCATTTAGCTAGGTTTGTTGTTATCAGGTGTGAGCTACCTCCTGTTGAACAGACTTTAAGCCCAATTAGACAGCTGTTTGTTATCACCAAGATAAAACTACCACTACTGCGCCATTGGGGATCTCTTGCTGAACTATTTCCTGTTTTAAGGAGAAGTCACAGTAGGAAGACTTTCTCTTCTCTTCACTTGGAAAGTTAAGCCTGGGTTATTTAAGAACTAGCAATGGTCATCCCACAAAAGTTCAAGGCTAGAGGGAAAGGATTGGCTTAATTTGTAGTAGAAGCAATTAGAATCAACTTAGTGGTAGAGCAAAGTAGAACTTGAAGAATAATGTAGCTGAGACTGAGGTCAAGAAACAGCACTGATGCTCTTGTCACCATCATGTGGATGCAGCCGTCAATGCCGTCCTCCACCTTGTCTGGACTGTTCTTTAGTCAAGGTATTCACCAAGCATCTGCTACAGTCAGCAAGATGCTAAAGTATGCAGGAAGCGGGTAGAAGAGAGTTCAAGTGTTTCCTAGATGTGATTGAGCATGTAAGGAACTTGTGTTGCAACTGAGAATGACAGATTGACAACATGAAATGATGAGGGGAAAGTTCAGGAAACACAGAAGAGAGAGCTCCACTGTGAAGGATGGACTGTAATGAAAAGCTACATGGAAGACGTGTGAGTACTGAAAGCTCAGAGAGGATTAGAAAGATGAGAAAAAGTCAGGGTGGCAGGTAGGCAAGGAAAAACAATTTAGTAATCTTTTCTGGCAGGATGGTAATTCTCTACTGGAAAGAGAAGCAATTAGATGGCCAGAAGATATAGAGAAGTTAGGAAGAATAAAAAAGACAAGCCAAATTAAAATATATGAGCAAATTAAAATATATGAGCAAATATATCAACAAAGCAGTTAAACAGACACCGTCACAAATCTTCAATAGGAAATGATATGATGCAAACAATGAATCAAAGGAGGTAAAACTGGCAGTGGGATGCACTGTGGGATGAGGGGAAGTGACCGTGGACCAAACGACTTGATTGTTTCATAGGCATGATTTAAGCATGAACTGTGGTGTTGAGTCTGAAGAGTCAGTACAGAAATAATTATTCAGGGTTGATGGAAGTGTACCCCCTTTACTGTCACACTGTTGATCCCACCCTCCAACCTTAGCAAAATGCAAAAATTATTTTAAAAAAGCAAAACTCTGATCTAGTGCTATAGTAGACCCTGGGAGACCTAACAGTTAAACCACCTTGTTGAAGGGTGCTTAGGAGGTTGAATTCTGTTTCTAGATTCCTGACGTGCTCAACTCCTTGCAAAGTGCCAAAGGATGTAATTTGTTGGCATCACTGTTTCCATTAAGTGTTCCTATTTCTATCACATGCACTTTAAGTCTCACTCCTAATTTAAGCCACATGTTATTTTACTCTTTGAAAAGAATATGAGCAATGTGATGTGATGCGACTTGATGTATGTGACAGGGAGAGAGCACTGAGTGCAGGCATTGGACAGATGTGAGCCCTGGTTTTGCCTCTTCTGTTCTGTGACTCTAAGATACCTGTAAGTTACAACTTTCTTGACAATGTTTTCTTCATTTGTAAAATGAAGAGGTGTCATAAGTGTAGATATACTTTAAAAGCACTTGGCATTTAAGAGATGAATCCGACAGTCTCTTCCGTCCTCCGTGGGCATTGCATGACATGGGTACACTTACCTACATGCAGGCAATATACACATACACATAAAATTTTTAAAAAAATTTAAAAAAGAGATGAATCTATACAGAGTAATTTTCATTCTAACATAAGCAAATTATATGATGCTCCTTTTAGGAAACTTTATGAAGGAAAAAGCAGGTTGGAGATAGAAAAAAGGGTGTACCATAGAAAAATTAACTTTATATAATACACATAAATTTATCACATAACAACATATTTTTATATATGCTTTTATTTATGCAAATAATATCCTTTATACCCATTGACATGCTTTTATTTATTTATTTATTTATTTTTGGTCTTTTTGAGACAGGGTCTCCCTGTAGCCCCAGCTGTCCTGGAACTCACTATGTAGACGGCTGGCCTTGAACTCAGAGAGATCCACCTGCTTCTGCCTCCCGAGTGCTGGGATTAAAGGTGTGTGTCACCACATTTCTTTTATTTCATTTTGTATTTTTTTGATATAGGGTCTCCCTATAACTCCAGTTGTCTTGGAACTTGCTACATGGACCAGGCTGGCTTTGATCTCGCAGCGATCAACCTGCCTCTGCTTTCCATGTGCTGGGTTTGAAGGCATGTGCCACCGCAATGACCCAGTGAGTTGCTTTTATTTTATTAAAACTATTCAAAGGAATTTTTATAAAAATCATGATTTAGACTTCTTATCTGTATTCTCTTAATTGTTAACCAAATTCAATTATTGATAAAAATCTAATTCCAATGGTTGAGAGTGAACCATTCAAGAAGAGATACTTGTATACTCTGTTTTCAGCTTTGTCATTGTATATGAGAAATGACACCAGTGGAATAATTCTCATTTCTTACAATTGTGGGTTATGGGCTTCAGTCAAATATATATCTTGCTATGGTCTTTAAATAATAAAGAGACTGATCCATAAGTTCTTCCTTGCCAAAAGAAGGGAACACCCTGTAGTGATATCACCCTGAGTCCTGCTTGCATCTGTTCACTATTTAAAGGCATACCGTGAGAGCATAATCTGGTTCCAGTAACTCTTGTGTCTTGTTAACTTAGTGAGAACAGTTTCTGACTTACCAATGGCTTACCTTCCAAAACCAATGTCAAGTATTTTGAACTTATATCACACAACTTACATCATGTCTCACAATTTCTGATTAACATTTCCCTATCATATCACAAAGATATTTGAATTTACAATGTACTAAAAGAATAGAACTAATGGTAATAATCTCATGTTAATGTCTGTAAACTCCATGCTGCAGATAACATTTGGCTTCATCATTATACCTTGATAAAACTGTGTTTCTTTTCCTCAGCAAGGATTTTGGGGGGCGGGAGTGAGGTAATGTCTCTAGTGTACCCTTTATATGTTATTCATTCAACAGATATAGATTGATAATCTGTTAGGAAAAAGGCCTCATGTAACTGATGAACATACTTGAATGTACTTGCATGACAGAAGACACTTTCTAATTCAGAGTACTTATTCTTCAGGTAGGAGATAAAAGACTTTATGGGGGAGAATAGGTTTTGGGCTTACTCCTCTATGCTTTGCATACAAAATTCTATCTGATCTGACAAGTATTTAATATCATCATTCAGTTATGAAGTTAAAACCATTCTTAAGTCACCTGATCTGACAAGCATGAAATTCTTCTACTGAAGGAGGTCCCAGCCTCCTTTCAAGATGGTTAATGTTCCTTGTTTCTGTGGAGAACTCCATTCACAAATACTTTGTGGAGTTTATCCATCTTAAAATTAGCTGCTTTCCTAGATATTTATGCTGTTCTTATAGCTAAACTTGCCCCCTCATAATAGAATGCTCACAAATCGAACAAGAGGAAAGCGGTCTGGTTAAAATGAGTATACTTTATGATGATGATTACTGTATCT